AGCTTCAGTGAGCTTGCGGGGGACATAATTCAATCCATTACACATATATACACCACTATAAAATGTTCAATTGAAATATTAGTCTTCTGCACTTCCTCCCATTCTGATATAAATTTGGCATACATAGTTTATACCGGCTTGATTGCTATTAAAGAAATGAAATGAATTTCCCAAATGTGATTTGTACAAGTGAAATTTTCCAAATACTGATATTATATTATAAATATATCTTGAGAAAAATAGCTAATTAGAGAGTTTTATAGAATGTTTATATTTAAACAGTTTTCATTAATGCTGTTGTAATATAATTCTGGATTTATTTCTTAGTTTAGATAAATTATAATGCTTGATTTTATTTTAAACACTTGAAATTCTCTCATTCATTCTACAGATGAGCATTGTCTCAAAGTGCTTCAATTTGAGAAGCAATTTGAAAACCTTTAAACAGTGTTGCTTTAGTAGTATGTTTTGTTATTTTTTTTATTTAGGGAAAAATATTTAATAATTTACATACATCCAATTAAAGTAATGTTTACAAACATTAGTATCTACTAGCTCTTGAACCAAATATAGCATTAAAAGGTGATATTTTCATCCTGGTCAAGAGAGCAAAATAGTGCCCCGGTGTCCCCGAATACATCTCTGTCTCCAGTTGTCTAGCATTCCACAAAGACCTCCCCACAATCTGTTTGTCAATACCTAGGATATTGGTTTTTTTGTTTTAAAAGATGACTGGTCAGGTGATCTTAAACCTTGACTTGGTGTTGTCAGCCCTATGCTCACCCAGTGAGCTAACCGGCCATCCCTATACCGAACCCGTGGCCTTGGTGTTATCAGCACCACACTCTCCCGAGTGAGCCACAGGCCGGGCCCTTGTTTTGTTATTTTTAAGCCTAAAATAATATAGCTTAACATTTGACAGTGATAGAATGCCTTGACCAAAGAGTATTTTCTGTCTTACACACTGTTCTTAAGGATATAATAAAGATGATTGAATATATAAATGTCTTTGAATCAGTCTTTTTGAAATATACAAAACATATTTGCTCAGTTCCCAGAAGAGCCTGAATTTAATTGATGTTTATTGTTTGCAATATCATTCTTAAAGCGAAAAAGAAACCTTAGGTGTCCCTGTGATTTCAGCCGCACTTTGTTCTCTTAATTGAAAAAAAAATTAATGTGATTTCACTTTTAATTTCGGTCAAGGACATTTAGCTCTATTGTATACTAGTTTTTTTACCAAGAGCATAAGTAGTAAAGTAGAATAAGTAGAATATGGAAAGGCCCAAACATATTTAAGAGAAAAATAGATGGGAGGTTAAGTTTCTAATACTTACATGTTGTTGCCCTCCTCCAATAGTTTCAAATATCCTAGGTATTGGACCGTCCCGTGGCTCACTCGGGAGAGTGTGGTGCTGATAACATCGTGGGTTCAGATCCTATATAGGGATGGCCGGTTAGCTCACTGGGTGAGCATAGGGCTGACAACACCAAGTCAAGGTTTAAGATCACCTGACCAGTCATCTTTTAAAACAAAAAAACCAATATCCTAGGTATTGACAAACAGATTGTGGGGAGGTCTTTGTGGAATGCTAGACAACTGGAGACAGAGATGTATTCGGGGACACCGGGGCACTATTTTGCTCTCTTGACCAGGATGAAAATATCACCTTTTAATGCTATATTTGGTTCAAGAGCTAGTAGATACTAATGTTTGTAAACATTACTTTAATTGGATGTATGTAAATTATTAAATATTTTTCCCTAAATAATGCAGCACCGATATGAAGAGACAGAAAGAATTGAGTTGTTCTAGATTTGTCAAGTTTCTGCCTTGTACAGATAGTGTCATTTGCGGTTGTAAAGCTTTGATGAGGCATACCTGGGATCAAGGGGATCCATACTAAGATGTACTATACTAGTTTCTGTCATGTATAGCCACCTCACTTTAAATAAAATTCTGTGTTTGTGGCTAATTAAATAGAGAGGTTAATCTAACCTTACAATGGATATTTAGGTAGTTTCTCCACTATATTGGAGTCTACCAAGATCACTTTTTGTAATCTAAAAAAAAAATCACAGTCTAATGTAATAAAGTTGGTTTATTAGAAAGCAAAACTTATCAATAATAATTGCTTTCCTTTGACATGAGAACAGAAAACCCCACCTGAAGAGCTTTTCTAAGGAAAGAGCCAGGATTTGTTGAAATTAGTAAAGGAATATGAAATTTGTGGCAAGCTAAATGAAGACACATATTTACAAATTACATATTCAGTTTACCACGAAGCAGTAATACAATACTGCACTGTGTATCATACTATACAGATTTTTTTTAATCTTGGATATTTTACACATGAAGATAACAGTGTCCTACAATTTCTAATATTCAAAACTTATGAATCTCAAGATTTCTAACATTATGGTAAGAAATGTCTCCAGGAAAATGTGTTGATTTTTACATGAAAAGAAGAGAGTCTTCAGGAAGTTTGAAAAGTAGAAAAATAAGAGTAGTTAAAATAAGGAAAGCTACGAACTTATTTAAAAATATAAGAAAAACCACAAGAGAGAGTGACTGGGACCTAAGCTTGCAGTCTCTGGAAGAACTTTGTGATATCTTTCAAATACCAGTTCAGGAAATTAGTTGTATTTAAAAGAGCAGCTTTTTTGAAGAGGTGGATTCTGTCTTTATGACATTACTGTACAAAGGACTGAATTGATTTACAAGCTGCTATTCTTACTCCTTTTCTATTTTGGGGGAGGGAGGAGGGACTCAGGATGGGCTGGTAATGTATTTCTTTTGTTGCTCTTAAAGAGTTATTCTAAAAAGAAGTGATTTGTTCTCTGTCATAAATCATGAAAGGTACAGAATGAAGTACTCAGGACATCATTTGCAGGCTTCAGGTTCCTTGATCAGGTATCTGTTTACATCATGTTACACTTGTTTCTACTATTTTTTGTTACAGTACTATGTATAATATAGGTGTGCGGATATCAAAGAACTACAAAAAAAAGGTAAAGTGAGTGAGTTTCTAAATTAGTATTCAGTTGCAAAGCAATTCAGGATCAATCTAAATTTACTGAGAACACACCCAGTAATTTTCATTTGCAATAGTAGGGAACTGGGGGTTTTTTTTGTTTGTTTGTTTTTTGTTTTTTTTTTTAAAAATATATTCACGTTTCTAAATTATGACTTAAAAACAATATTGGAGCAACAGGTATTTGTTGATTGCAATCCTCTTTTGCTGTGTCTAATCTATTTTCCAGATGGTTTCTTTCATGGTTATGCTAATTAAAATGCATTGCCTAATATTGCTTGCTTTGACTAATGCTGTAGCTTGAAGATTTCTCATTTTATGGCATTTTGTAACTGTAACCTCTTCCTTACCCTACTTCCTTAAGAGTTTTCACTTACTTTTCTACTGCCTCCACCACCCACCTAAATTTGAGTTCAGTTTTTCTTGTTACTGTAATGTGATGTAACAGTTTTTAGATACATGTGGTGGGTGGTTCCTCAGATTCACAAATGTTGCTGTGTTGCTAATCTGAAAAGAGAATTCCAGACACTTTTACAAGCTTGTCTCATCTCTGCTAATTTTAGAATGAGTATGTTGAATGAAATGTGCCTAAAATTGCTTATTAGTCATGGTGGTGGGGATCCTTTTTGTCCTCGGGAAACAAGGATAGTTAAAAGTATTCACAAAAGTATCTTTATCTGATTCAATAAATGCAGTTTGTTGTTGTTTTAGTTTGTAAAGGAAAATTGGAACTTTTTGGAATAAAATGAAATTTGAAGTAAATTTGAATTCAGATTATGCAAAGGATTCTAAAACATGGCCTAAAATGGAAAAAAGTGATGATGTCTTACACTTTCAAGGGTGTGTATAAATTTGAGTTTTTAATATTCATTACACATTATTGCATTAAACATTATTCTATTATAAGATCCTTTTAGTTTATAATAAATTTTATGCAAAATAATGGTGCTAAATTTTATTGCTGATTGGTTTAGCATAAGATTTCTGTACTCAGGATTATGGAAATATAAAATTTTAAGAGTGAATTCTGTCTGCTAATCCAGTCACAACTATAAGAGTGAATGTTCTAAGTGCTCCCCACTAGTTAGGAAATTACATAATACAGCTTTGACAGTCAAAAGAATTTTGAGTATTGTGTCAGCTGTTACTTATAGTATTTTGGTGTTTCCTTTTAGACAGCTGATATCTCATCTTAGAAGATACTGTATAAACAACCCTATTCCCAAATAAAAGTGCTGAGTGAAGCTATTGCTTAATTCATTACAATTGCTAAATACTTGTCATAAACTACTTTTTTTATTAAATTATTATTAGCATAGAAGTTTTGAAGCAGAGTTAACACAGTAGCTCATTTCAGCAAGCTATATATTTGAGAATGGAGTGAGAGTCATTCATCTCTAGCAGGAAATTAAAGAGTTGTTTTTCAAAAGTAATAAATTCTGACAGAGACCAATGGGATTAAGTATGACTCAGTATAAAAAATTTAAGCCTAAACATTTTTTTAGGCGCTAAAAATGAACAAGGTATTGCTACCGTTTAAAGGCTGTTATGTCTTACAACCTGCTAGCTGTCTTGCTGTAAAAACTGTAACGTAAGGCCCTTGAAATAGATGCGTCATCAGCCCCAGCCCCCAGGCATTCATCTGTTTAAACACATGACAGAAAATGGTGGAAGAGAGTTCACCAGCTATTCATCTGGTAGGAGTGGTTATTGTATTAGGACATACTACGTTGTAGGCCAGCAGCTTTTGAGTTAAAACATTGCAGCTGTTTCTCTTCCTTTCCTTATGTCTCTCTCTCTCTCTTTTTTTTTCTTTTCCCTACAATAAACTCACATATTCTTTTTCCCACAAACATTTTTTGTAGATCTCAGGAGCAACAAGTTCCAGCTTCCGACTGTAACAGTTTTATCCTTATTGTCTGTTTGAATAGATTTCAGTATTTTTCTTTTTTTATTTTTTAAAAGGCAACGGGCAGCCAAGACGTAGATCCATCCAAGACTTGACTGTAACTGGAACAGAACCTGGTCAGGTAAGACTTAACAATTGAGTTCTGTTTTTGAAGAATAATGCTGAGTAGAAATCAAGAATTAACTATTATATATTCTGCAGAATTAGTTTTATGAGTGAACCTAAAATTGTCATAAAGAAGTTCATTGGCACTTGAACATAAATATTTGGGGGGAAAAAAGCATTATTAATTTAAATTGAAGGGTAATTTATGAAAGTAGGTTGATTAGATTGCATGGGAAAGTAAATTGTTCAATAGCACTGTATGTATGTTATGTGGTTTTTATATATGTTTTAAAGAGGAAGTATTCAATTTTGTAATTTAACAATTTGTCATTATATTGTCCTCTAAAGTGATTCATTACTGTTGTCTCCTTTTTTAGTAATGAGGGGAATAAATATTTCCTCAATAAGATTCCACTCCTCTGGGGACACATAGAACAGTGACATACCTGGAGAACTCTGACATCTTTTAATTTGGCATATCCTTGGGATTTATATTTTTGTGAAATATCCTTATGACAATATTTACTAAGCAGATGCATAAATTCTGAAAGGCTTCTATCCCAGTTGTTAAGGTTTTTATTCATTATTTTTATATTTCTGGATGCTCCTCTAAACTCCCATTGTCTCTTTATCACAGCTTCTTTGTAGATGATCCAGATGGTGCTATAATTTAAGCCATTACTGTCTAGTATGGAGTTTTAACCAACCAGAAGTATAAGTAGCTCAGCCATTGCTTTTTCTCTGTTATTCAGATTAATTCACTTTACATATATAATTTACATCATATTCTATAAAATTAATAAGGACCAATTATGAGGTATTTATTTTCAGTTGTGCTGAAATTCATGAGTATATCATGCATTTGAAATAATAAATCATGGTCCATGTTCATGTAAAATTTTAGCATTATATATTACAACAATGTGATTTAATTTATGGTAATACATATTTCATCCTAGAAAGGTGTTTTATTTTTATAGCCTACTTTTAATTCCTTTTTTTCCATAAACTTTTAGAAGTACCCTCGTATTTTATGTATATATGTGTGTATAGGTATTATGAATTGTGAAATAAACATATTTCCAGATATAAATGAAGGTCAGCGATATTTATCATTTAAATATCTCAAGTGGATTTTAAGTTAGTTAAGTTGATGGCTTTAAAGGGCTTTCATAATTTATTAATGACTACAGAGAATCTCTAAAATTTAAAATATGTATATATACAGATATATTAATTTATAATACATTTTGTGATATTAGTGACTCTGAATCTTGACTTCACTTATTTAATAGCAGTTTTTTCAGTATATCTGTTTTTTGTGAGATCCCCAAACTTTTGACTGAAGTTTCCCATTTTCTTCCCCCACAAATACTTAAAAGTTTTAATCAGCCCATTTGGTAACAGTTCGACATCTGTTATTTCCTTTGATTCCTTAGAGGCTTGATGAGCTCAGCCTTTTAAACTCTGTTTACTATTGCCGTTGATATTCCAGTTATGAGAACATCTAGCCAAGTGTTCTCCTTTTGACTAGGAATGAGAAGCTTGCCCAAAGACTCGTCAGGAGCAGCTACTAGTGCAAAAATTTTCTCTAGGCTCTAGAGTAAAGGTATTGCTATAGTTCAGGACTGATCTCCCCACACCAAGCCTTACTTATTTCCTCACAAGTTCTGTATTTTGGGGATTATGATTGTTACTCTTTTAATTCACAATACCTTTAGGTAGTAAAACATTGGAACTGAGGTAGACATTGGAACTATGGTTGTGGGACAGTCATTGCATGAATTGTCATAGACGACTCCAAAAGATTTGGGGTGAGAGAGTTTGATATGGCAGTAAAACCTGTTCTAAAACAGGTGATGGATAACCATTATATAGCCAGTTTTTAAAATTGATCCACTCATTTAAGATGACTTAAGTATTATGTCCTTAAAGTGCCTAATGTCCAGTTTGGGATGAGAATGGAAAACAGTAATCCTAATGTACTGTGAAAACATTTTCTTCTGAAAAGTGTTTGATAAATGACCATTAAATCTTTTACGTCACTGTAAAGATAATATTCATTATTTGAAGTTAAATATTCACAGTGCAGATTTTCAAAATTTGAAGGTATAATTTGTGTCAAAATCTGACTAAAAAATGATTAAGCAGATGCTTGGATTTGATATCCACCCTCCCCTTACCAACCCCACCCCGAACATGGAAATTGATAGAGAGCATAAAGAAAAGAATCTGGCCCACCTAGTAAAATCATCAGAGGAAGAGAGAGAACTTACTAATAAAGTTTAATGTTACATTTCTTAGAGGAAAGTGAACTGATTGGAGTTTGTACTTTGGCTCTTGACTTGAGACATAATCTTAATAAAAGCACTTAGACTTTTCATCTGTAACTAAAATTAAATTGGTTGTTTTATACTGTCATTTCTATTGAGAGGATTAGTGAATGAAGCTAGGTTCTTAATTAATAATGGTTGTTACATGTGTAAAAGATTTTATTCTTACAACATACAACTAACTTTTAAACATGATTTTTAATTAATTCAGGAAGCTTATTAAGCACACATAATAAATTGGCCTCCTATAGTCTTTGAAAAGATACTAAGAAAGGAAAAAGCAGCCTCTGACATCCAGGAACTGATCTCACATAGAGAGGTCTCAGTGTTAGAAGCCAGCCTGGCTTTCACAGCTAGACTATGTTGTTGTCCTATTGGAAATAAACAGTCTCTCAGAACACCATCAGACAAGGTTATGCTGAGACCATGATAAAATGAGATAGAACAAAACCACTTTACAATGTTGTCTAAGCACAGACAAAAACAAGATCACTGTGCCACCCGCAAAATACCAAATAGCGCTCTCTCTCGGCTAAATGAGTGACTACTGTTTCTTTACCAATTACAATTTTATCCTCTTTGTAGAATTGCCTCTGCTTTCTGGCAGACCCCAATCTGGAGTGAAACTCTTCTTCATTAGAGCTTCCCCAAAATCACTCAGTCAAAACCCAAATGCTGTAATAGATTCTTTTCTAAAACACTTACTGAGATATCCCAAGGTGCCCTAAGGTGAGTGCTCTCCATTGCAGTTAATATTAAACCCACCTCTTTCCACTACCAGTGTATTCCTGGTGGTCTTTGGCTAGAGGGTATTGGCAATACCAGTAAAGCCCAGCCCCCAAGGAGCTTATTAGGGCAGATTAGACTTATGCCCAAATCAATTAGAGAACTACAGTAATAACAGCTGCCATTTGTTATGCACTGACTTTGTGCCAGGCAGGCCCTTGGTATATATTAGCTAAATCTTAATCCTGTAAAGTTGATACTTTTTATTTTCCTCATTTACAGATTGATAAACTGAGGATTAGAGAAATTTACCTAAATCTCTTAACTTCACTTTCACTGCCAGTGATTGTTATAACCAGGTTTTGAATCCAGATTTGTCTCCTAAACGCACAGACTCTTCACTCTATCATTCTGTCTTGTTTATAAAACTAGAGGTGATTCATTCTTTTTTTTTTTTTTTTTCCCTTTTTGTCTTTTTTCGTGACCGGCAACGGATCGCAACCCTCACTGTCGCGCCCGTACCGGACCGGGACCGGCAACGGGATCGCAACCCTTGGTGTTGCGCCCACACCTCGCTCAGCCAGTGAGCGGCCGGTCTGTATGTGGGATCCAAACCCTCAGCAGGACCGCCACCGCGCTCCCAAGCGGCGCACTGTAGCAGTGCGCCACCAGGCCAGCCCTAGAGGTGATTCATTCTGATGTAACCCTAGGTCTCTGAAATTTTAAGTGTTTTGGCTTCGGATAATAAATTTCACCTTGATAATAAGTTTCAACAGATGACTATACAAGTTTATTTTTATACATCTGGGTAAGCATTTCTATGTTTCGCTGAAATTATACATTCTTGTGTATGCCTGCATACCCCTTCTGGAATTACATCCAGTACAGATGTACATTCAAGGTTTCTCTTGGAAGGGGCTTCAGTCAATGAAAATTACAACTATAAGATGATGCAATTATGATAATTTTAAGAACTAGATGTACTGCATTTCTATACAGACTTTATAATCTACTTTTACTAGTCAAGTATGTGACTTTGGGCATGTTGCTTAATTCCCCTGAGCTTCAATAACCTAATCTGCAAATGGGGCCATAATACCCACCCTTGAAGATCTTCATCACATGTTTATTACCAGACACACAGTAATTATTAATCCATGTTGTATGCCTGCCTCTCCTTTAGTGTGCCTCCCAGAACTCTTGATACCACTTCTTTGCTCTCACAGAAATTACTATCCAGAAATAACACAAAAATAGCGCTTGGAAAGAAGTAAAATCCACCAGCATTCTGTTCTTTGTATATCATAAGAAAAACTTACATCAAGGATTACAGAAATTATTTGCCTTAAAGTCCTTTTATTACATATCTAGAGATACTATACATTATTGTTTGTTTAAGGGATATGATTTATTACACTATTTTTGTTCATCTTCAATCTGTACCTTTTTAGTATAAATAAGTTTTTTGTTAAAGCTCTAAATCAGAAACTTACGTAATAGTTTTAAATAATTTCTGGTTCATGGTATACCTTTCTACTGGAGAAGAGATAACTTTCTATCAGAGAAGACCCTGTGAGAATAATCAGATTGTAAAATTTTCTTGTAAAGAACTGCAGCGAAGCCACAATTAGATTGAGCCTATACCTTCAAGTTAGAAAGAATGTTTTCGATACACCCTGTCATGTATTGATTTAATTGAATTATCTGTGACAGCCATAAAGGAAAAAGTATCCATGTAAATCTACATTACCAACTTATACCCATTTATTTTTATTGAATCGTAATTGATTATACATATTTTTGGGATTCAGTGTTGACATATGTTGATCAAATCAATATTACTAGTATGTATATTGTTACAAATTGTACTTATTCCTTATGCCCCTTGTCCAATCTCTCCCTGTCCCCCTCTTCCTCCCCCCTCTCACCACTGATAACCCTAGATTTCTTCTCTCCC